GTCTGTCGATGTCGCGAGATTGTAGCTTCACCGCGACCGTCTCGTAAGGCTCACCAGCAACAATGAGGTACTGGTAGTTTGGGTCTGGCTCCTCCACCTTCTGCTCGTATGCGCTCATGACACGGACCTTGGGAGTGATGCCGGGTGTGAGGTCCGGGAACTGGAACTGGAACAACAAGCCATTTTGGCGTGTGTTGGGGTCGCGTACTTTTGTGATGCGGTATCCAGGCCGACCGATCTTGATGACGTTCTTCTTGGGCAGTACACCCGCGAGCAGTCCTTGTTGGCCCACGTCGTCTCTTTTGCCTTCTCTCTGCTCCTTCGCCGCACGACGTGCCAAGTTTGTTTGATGCTTCCTTCCCTGTGTATGCGCGAGATAAGATCCATCGTTCTGGTGGACCGTCAAACAGAGACGGCACTCGAAGCTGCCGACGTGGTTCTTGAAGAAGTACGGGTCCTTGTCAAGGTCGATGGTCTCGAGCGCGAGCTTTCGGAGACGCTCTCGTCGGTCGGCATTCGTCGCGGACTGTGATGCGACACCACCGCCTCCAAATTTGGAGCCTGCGCGATTCTGTAGACGTTAGTAGCTGTTCCTGACCTTCGCGACGGGGGACGTACCTGGTAATCCATCTTTGAGAAACTTCACGATCTGCTGTGTCAATCTTGGTCGCGATTAGACAGGAAAGAGGGTGGCTTTTACGTAGGCAACGGTCAGGTGTTGGGCGGTGTAGAAGTCGTCGTGCTGAAGTAATGTTGCGCGACAGAACTTCTGGAGGCGTGCGACGCTAGTGTCCAGGTACCTGATCCCTGCACTTCGATGTCACGTGCGCGGTTGCCTCCACACATTCACCTCGCATAGTGCATGCTAGCGTCTGTGAGCTGCTCTCACTTTCTGTTCAGAAGGTCTGAGATTATATCGGATAATTACTGTACCTACTTCATCGTGTCCCTCTGTCATGGCATATTAAATAAGAGACACGTACTGCGACCTGGACATTTGCATCACACCTTAGCAGGTACCCACCACAAGAGAAGGAATCATCGAGGATAGTATCAGTCATGGCAACAGAAATCTACATAGGAAAGCGCCTCTCCTACGACGCCCACCTCTGCACAATCCGCTACCACGGCCCCATCCAAGGCACAACCGGACTCTGGCTCGGCGTAGAATGGGACGAACCCACACGAGGAAAACACTCCGGCACGCACCAAGGCACCCAATACTTCACGTGCTTAAACCCCTCCCCAACATCCGCATCCTTCATCCGACCGACCCGCAAACCAGACCAACCACGCACCTTTGTGCAAGCGCTAAAGTCAAAGTACGCCTCTGAAGCTTTAGAGGAAGACTTCCAGGATCCAGATGTTCATGTTGTGTTTAATCACCAGCCGCCTGTGCAGCAGAAACAGAAGCCGGTGCTGTTTAATGGGAAGCCGGCGGAGGAGATTGGGTTTGACAAGATTAGGAGGCAGTTGGCGCAGTTGGGGGAGTTGAAGATTATTATTTTGGATGGGCTTTGTATGCAGAGGCCTGAGGCACGGGGGGAGGGGTGGCTAAGAGGAGGAGAGAAGAATGATGTCAAGGAGGCATGTCCGAAGGCGATGGAACTTGATCTGAGCAGGAATCTCTTTGAAGAGTGGAGGGAAGTAGCTGCGATCTGTGAACAGCTGCCTGGTTTGAGGAGCTTGAGGGTTGAGTGAGTATTCTCCAAACTCAGTTCTTTCTTGGCTGTACTAATAGAAGCGCAGTGGCATACGTCTTCGCGATACATCTGTATCAGAACCAGAGCGAGCCCGCTGTCTTGACGCCTTCAAAGGCATAACCTCTTTGAAACTGGAAGACAATCTCCTCCCGTGGGCCGACCTGGCCCTCCTAACCCATCTCTTCCCCTCCGTCACCACGTTCTCCGCATCTAGCAATCTCTACACAAGCCTCACTCATCACGCCCTCAACCCCACAATCACCGATCTAACACTCGAAGACAACCACCTCACCTCTCTATCCTCACTGGCCTGCCTCACAGCCCTCCCAAACCTGCACCGCCTCATCCTCAAATCGAACAAAATCTCCGAGATAACCAGTTCCGGCGCATCGATACCAGTTTTCTCGACCACCGTCCGAGAAGTCGACCTTTCGTTCAACGAAATCTCAACATGGGCGTTCATCGAACAACTCATACACGTCTTCCCCGGTCTCCGAAGCCTGCGTGTATCGCAGAACCCGCTGTATCAGTCGTTACAAGCACCGGATGGACGGAACTTGACGGCAGACGATGGATACATGCTTACGCTTGCACGACTAGGGCAGCTCAAGACGCTGAACCACAGTCCCATCAACGAGAAAGAGCGGTTGAACGCAGAGTCCTACTATCTCTCCATGATCGCAAAAGAAGTGCAGTTCGCGCCCGAGAAGCTGCAAGAGCAGATCTTGAAGAGTCATCCGCGGTACAAGTGGTTGTGTGAGGAGTATGGCGAGCCGGACGTTCAGCGTTCTGTCAACGCCGTGAACCCTAACTCGCTTGCTGCACGGTTGCTTCATATCAGGTTTTACCTTGCGACATCCACAGATACGATATTCGAGACGGAGATCCCGATGAGTGGCACGGCGTACACGGTTCTCGGTATTGTTGGGAAGCACTTCGGTGTCAAGCCTATGAAGTGTAGACTGGTATGGGAGACGGGCGATTGGATGTCGGTGCGGAAATCAGCGACGGACATCGTAGATGACGACTGGGATTCTGAAGACAGCGAGGCGGAGATGGGTATGGAGCGGGTTATGAGGGAGGTAGAGATCGTTCCTGGAACGCGATCGATTGGAACCTGGATCGACGGGACAGAGGCTACTGTGAGGGTCGAATTCAAGTCGTGACGACTGATTGCCGGGAATTAATCCCCTGGTTTCGAGCAATGTGCGCTTCGTTAGCAGTTCATTCAGCGGAACCACCAGTTGGCCTGTACAACCGTTAGCAGACATATCCATACCAAGTCACATACTGTACCCACCGAAGCATTCGCACCCTTTCCAATCCCCCTAACAGCATGCCACCATCCATTAGGAATATACAGCGCATCCCCAGTCCTCAAAGTTGTTTCCCAGCCCGTCGCACTCCCCATACTTCCATCTCCATCCTCATTCCAAACCGCCATTTCCATAGCCTCCATCTCCGCACCCTGCATCATCTCCTCTCCTCTCATCTTCGCATCTCCGCCCGGTCCCCGTATATGCTGCCTTATAGCCTCGAACACCATCCGACCCACCCCAGGCTTCATCATCCTGATTGTTTTCTTGCCTGCCAGTTGTACGAAGAGGTTCGGGTTCGGGTCGCGATGTAATGGGGTGCGCGTAGGCGGTCTGCCCATCCAGAGACTCGATGCGTAGATATCACCGCGGGCGTTGAGGTGGGATAGGAAAGTCAATGGCGTAGGTAGGTCTTCTTGCAGAGGCGCTGGAAGATCGGCTAGCGAGTGTTGCGCGAGGTACAAACTCGTTTCTTGCGCGTCCGCAGCACTCATGTGTTGTAATAGGAGAGCCAGAGGGGCTTCGAAGCGCTCAAAGGCTTCATTTCCGAGGGCATTTTCGGGGGATGAGCGCGTCAGCTCCAGTGGCACGATCGCATCGCCGTACTGCTCGAGGTACGCGGTGTTCAGCTCTTGCGGGTATCTGAATGTGTTGGGCTTATTATTCCACTTGTTTGTCAAAGATGCGTCGAGGAAGGCATCCTTCTTGAACCACTTCCGGATTGCAGGTATATCCAGAAAGGCTTTTTTGAAGAGCGCGGGTTGGTCGGGGTCGAATGCAGGTATGCTGAACTCCTTCTTGTCCAGGTATTCCGTCTTCGTCAAGATGCGGAAGCGCGGATGTTTTGTTGGTCGTACATCTGGCCTTCTGCTCCAATGGCGAGGAACGGCAGGGGCCGGCTTCGGCATGGAGGTTTAGACTGTGGTGTGAAGGATTGCACGGATGCAGCTCGCTCGGGAGCTTGACACGCTCTCACGTTATCGTACCCCACACGAGCAGCAAGCACCCGCCCCGCCAAAACCTGCCCCTGGTAAAGTTTAACATCGTCACAAACACCTGGAAGCTCAGCACCAGCCCACGCGACACCAACATGGCTCAAGCTCAAGGCGCACAGCCTGGTCAAAGTAATGGCACCCTAATCTCAAATCATCGCGCATTGTGCTAAACCTCCCTCGCAGTCGAAATCACATCTCTCCCTGTCCCCCGCCTCCAGGAACTAAAAACCCAACTCGACGCCGAACTCACCCACCTGTCCAACTCGTTCCAATCGCTGCGCACCGCCCAATCCAAGTTCCGCGACTGCCTGAACTCCATCTCGACAGGTCTCACACCAGCCACCGTCTCGAAACCGCTCCTCGTCCCCTTGACATCCTCGTTATACGTACCCGGCAAACTCACGGATCATGAGCACGTGCTGGTGGATGTAGGCACAGGTTTCTTTGTGGAAAAGGACATTGCTAGTGCGAAAGACTTCTATGAGCGCAAGGTTAAGGATCTGGGCGACAGTTTGAAGGACTTGGAGGGTGTCGTGCAGGGCAAGGCGCAGAATGTCAGAGTCGTGGAGGAGGTCATCAGGCTCAAGGTCATGAACGCACAGGAGGGCAAGGGTGAGGAGCAGGGCAGCTGAAGTGTTGCGAGGTAATGCGCAAACATCATGTTAGAAGACCAGAAGCCGGTGTCGGATCAGCCGCACGCGGCATGAGTAGAAGCACACCTGGAGGACCATGCGGGTCTTTCTAGAAGAGGCTACGAAATTTCATGGCACAAGACTGGAGTAGAGAATTCGTCATGTTCGCATGATACTATATGAGAATGAACTCCTATGCCTGACGCTCGTTCAGATCGCCTTGGATGTCTTCAAGATACCACCTCATACAAGGAAGAAACCGAACAGGTCTGCAGCCTACATCAACATGAAAACATGCAAAGTAGATGACCTAACGTCAATGTAGCCTTCAGGGTGTTCAGGTTTTCCCGTCCTTTAGATAGCGACGCCTCCCATGTCTGTGACAGAACTGACGATGGCTGATAGCTGAAGCAGCTTGTCCATGAGGATGCGGATACCATCGCGTGGTGGTGCTTCAACGCCAGGGCCCAGATCGAGGTTCCTCATTCCGAAGTCCTCGTCCTCAACCGCGCTGGAGTAGCAAGACTGTCCGTCATCTGGCAGGAAGGTAGCCACAGTGTGACCCCAGTCGGCCTTTCGACCCACAGGGAGACGCTCAAGCTCAGCAAGATGGGTAGCCCATTCAGAGTGGCGGACACAGAGACCCCAGACGGGAAGTCTCTGTCCTGGGTACCACATGCAAGTAGCCTCAACCTTGTAGCAGGTCTGCTTGATGCCGAAGGAGTATATAGTTTCCAGACGGCCGTTCCGTAGGTGCTTCTTGACGGTAGGTGTCTGATCCCACTCAGCGAAGCTTTCGGTGGAACGATAATCGTGGTTGGGTCTCATCTTGACTCGATCAGCGAAGCCAGTTATGACAGGCGATATGCTCTTCGCTGCCACAGGAATCAAGGACTCAAGGGCGAAGTGCCATCCTCGACTCTCTCCAAGCTCCAGCAGATTGATATCCATGTTCTTCTTTGGTGTTTTACGACCCTGATCGATTTTGTAGAACCGGGTTGTTGTCTTCTCGTACAAGCCCTCTTCGTCATCAGTCCAGTCGACCTGAACAACGATGAGTTCGGACTGCGGCGCTGCGGATGGAGTGGTTGTACTAGCAGGAGCTTGGGGAGGCGCTTTAGGACGTCCAGCATGGCGCACAGCTACCGGCTCACGCGGTGGAGCAACAACGCTGCTGGGGTCTGTGAACACCCACGTTCCTCGGAACATTGGACGAGTGCCTTGCAGCGATTTTGGCGTATAACCGAAGTAGGCAGAAGACTTCGTCGGCTCCAGGAATTCATCGGCCATGCAGAGTGCTCCCAGAATTTGCGAGCCCAGTGCATCATCAGCAAGCCTATGTCGTTAGCCATTATGCTAGTCGTCACGAGGGGACACACTTACCACTTCTTTATCTCAACTGCAACAGGTCCGTTAATCGACTTCAAGAAGATATCCTTCCCGAACTTCTGGCCAATCTTATCCTCCTTGATATGTCTTGAGCTCAGAGCCAGGCACCCTAGCCGAATAGCCATATCGTACGCGCCTTTCGTGTGGCGCACAGCTTCAAGGGCCAGCTGAATTGAATGCTGGATCTTTGAAAGCTGCGTGAAGTGCATGATCTCATTGCGGAAGCTGCCGGAGGTTTCCATCATCCCACTGGAGAGGAGGCGAGGTACGACTCGATCTTGACTGATGTTGAGCGAAAGAGGTCAGCACTCGTCTGCAGTTCACGCTTGTGATTCACGTACAGGTTCGGCCACCACGCGTCAGCCTCCTCCAGAACAACCTCCAAGCCCTCTTTTTCATCAAGAATCATGTTGATTACATGCTGCAGTCCCATAGCATCAGCTTTGACTTTGTCGATCATCGTCATGAGATGCGCTTCGGCTGCTTCGATGCGCGCTATGTCGCGGGCTGTAAAAGTTAGTGTGTATCGCATGTAATAGCAATATGATGGGCTTGCCTTGTATCTCAATCTGCCAAACGTCGTTCTGAGTAGGAAGAAGCGTTATGTACACCTCGTTCTGAGTCCGAATGGCGTTAAGCGCTTCTAGCTTGTTATTGAAGACATCGCGAGGAGTGACGCCTTCGTTGAGGAGGTCCTCCGGCCAGCACACGATGATGCTCGCCAGTGGCATGTCGCCTTTTGATACCTCAGGCGCCTTGCCCTTGAATTCTTCCTTCCGCTGACGCTCCCGCTCTTCAATGCTGTCGTAGTACCATTTGTTATGATCGAATGCAGGTGTCTTCGCCCATGATGATGAGTCTTTTGACTTGATATGCGCGTTAGAAATCCAGTGGTTGATGTATCGGACGGCCTTCTCAACGCCTGCACCTTGTCCAGCAATGGCGAACTGAGTGATATACCCAGCGTCCCATTTGGGGATGACATCGCAGCCAGTGTTGATCTTGATCTCGTTGACGATGAGCTCGCGTTCTGTAGTATGAGTGAGGCGACGGTACTCCGGGGGCACCGGAATGAACCTTTTTGGCTTGGGCTTGGGCTTTGGTAGAGCGCCAGTGTCCTGTCCGTCCATCGCTGCGGCTTCTTTGTTGTATGAAGAACTAGAAGCAGTGCCAATGTAGCGGCGTCGGGGTGAGAGGACTGGTAGTGTTGTGGTGTTCGTCGCTGCAGAGTTAGGTCGAGGTGACTGAATTGGAAAGAGCAAACGCGCGGTGGCGCTAGTGCGTATGCGTATACAGCCTCAAAGCGCACCTACCTCGTCTCATTCTGTGTTCAAGGTGCAAGTTAGGGAAGTGTATGAGTACGGTTGATATATACCCAGAGAGCGTTGTAGTGTGTTTTCGGAGTAGAGTGCCAGCGAAGGCCTCCAGGCTGTTGTGCTGCACCTCCTCTCTGATGCAAGAAGAACTCGAACGCAACGCAATGGTATAACAAGCTCAAAAGCGCACTCTATGTCTGTATCACCAAGGAAATTGTGTGCAATAATGCGGGAAGCTTGGTTGATGAAGATGTGATTGTACTAATGGAGAGGTTGTAGAAGCTGGACATGAAACGAGGAAGGTTGAGATGGGGGAGATCTACGACATAATGAGAGAAGTACCCTTTTAGTATGGGTGAGGGGGAAGGTCTACCACTTGGAGACACTGTCGTCTAAGGTGGCCTGTTATGGAGGAGGGAGAGCTTTCTCCTGCTACAAAGGGTTGAGCACGTCACCAAAGCCACACATGCAGCCCAGGAAGGCGTATCCACGACAGAGAGGCTTCGGGCGATAATAAGCAGATAGACCTTTGATGTTTAGGTAGTTGTATCGTATCGCGCAGAGCTGTTGGCTGGCAAACACAAGTGACGAGGTAGGCTAAGCAGCACATGAAAGATCACGCAATCCACCCATCTGAATTCGAAAGGCATGTGGTCAAGTAAAGCGACAGACAAAAGAGTACTCCCAACAGAGTATCGAGCAGGAGCGATGGAAGAAGTCGTGGGCAAGACTACCGAAGTTGAGAAATGCTTGGCGGGCATCGGCGTTTGCGGAGCGACTCCCGATCCATTTTCTGAGCATCGCGAAAGCCATTACAACTCGATATAGCGCATCGTCGCGCTTTGCACTCCTCGAAAGCGCTGTAGCACTCCCTATCGAACCTAGGAATCTTTGCGACCGCTGGCAATTGGAGAGTCTGGACCTCATCGCCCCGCCACCATGGACGCCGTGCCCATCACAAAAAAGCTGATAGCCTTCGGCAGCAACAAGATATACCTGTAAGTCACGGCGATGCCTCGTTTACGCTCAAGGCTGATATGATTCAGCCCCAAATTCACAGTCGCGTTTCTTCGCACGCCCCAACTCTCCCCATACCATGCCCGCTTCCAGGTCCCGCTAGACTTCTCCAAATACGACCTCCGCGACTACCTCTACCACGCCTACAACGTCAAATGCTTCAACATCCGATCGTACGTCAAGCAAATGCCGGTACGAGATACGCGGGAACAACCACGGCATTGGTTCCGCGAGGAGTCGAAGAAATACATGACAGTAGAGTTGGAGCAGCCATTCGTCTGGCCTGAGACACCCGACCTCGAACCATGGGGCAAGAAAGACAGGGAAAGAGAGATTCGGGATTCTGTGAAGATGGGCGGGGCAATTGACCAAAACGACACGCGGGAAGCAGCCAGGACGCTTCGAGAGCAAGTGGAGAAGTTACTACACAAGAACGTTTCCAAGCCGAATCGCGAGATACAGAAGAAGAAGGCAGCGGCTATGGAGCTTACACCAGAGGAGCTTGAGTCGGAGATACTGAGGAAGCGGGAGGCGTCAAATCTAAAGCGCATGTCAAGATTAAGGTTGTGGGCGAAGGAGAGGACAGGAAAGACCGTCGAAAGCGACAAGCCTCGGCGGTACGCGATCAAGGTCTGAGAATGATCTTTCGCTTTGTATATATGTGTGTAACATATGTATCGGGACGGGGCAAGAAACCACCAATTGAGAGCTACACGTACTGATAACCTACCTGGATACTGCGAACACTTGGAATGGGCCATCATCAAAGCAGCCAATTGCGGGGCTCTAAGCTGCAGTCTCATTGTCTTCCGTTCTGGGGTCCACAGAGTTCTTCGTAACCCTTCTTCCGTTCTGGGCTATTCGATGTTACTCGGCTCTAAATTTGACGCTAACGATCGAACAGGTAGTCGAATGGCGAGGCTAGAAGGGTCGCGGAGTCATTGAGCTGCAGTTGGATGTAAGCTTGCGCCTTCCTTGGCTGCATGTGGACTGCATCAATGACCCTCTCCGCCAATTTCATTCGACCACCCTAAAAGGAGCGTGATACGAAGATGGAGAAATATACAACTCCAGTATCTTTGGCACTCGCGCTTATCATGTCGCAGTCACCGCCATTCTCAATGTACCTTCCTTGAGCACTTTAACACTTTACTCACTCCTTTTCCCACCTCACCCAACCCGAATTGCGCAGCTTAACGACATCACCGAAATGTAGTTGCGCTGAATAATTACGCAGCGGCATGTATCATTGCAACCCGAGATGAGCAGACTTCGCCTCCGTTACCAAACATCAACATGTCTTTCGGATTTGCTGTTGGTGATTTCATCACTGTTGCAAAACTGATAAAAGAAACTATCAGCTGCCTGCGGTCTGTAGGCGGGGCTGAATCGGAGTACCAGGAGCTGGTCAGAGATCTTAAAGCACTCGATATCTCATTACACCACCTCGATCACATCGACGACGACATGAATGCATCCGCTCATGTTAGCCCGATCAATATTGCGACCACGAACTGCAGGCTACGACTTGAAGGATTCTTGTCAAGAGTCAAGAAGTATGAAAGATCTTTGGCCTCCTCTAGCCATCCATCGATGTTGAGGGCTACATCAGACAAGCTTGGTTGGCATTTTGGTCGGAAAGATCAGGTCGAACAACTCCGACGAGACATTCATATCTGCCACAGTATTATCAGCCTGCATCTAGCCCAACACAGTCTTGAGCGCCTGGAGATCCTGCGTGCAACAACCGAGATCGACTTTTCGCATATATCTGAACAGCTATACCATACCCGGACCGTTCTCGAGCACATCAATAAAGAGAACCTGAATCAAGCGGTCGTCTTGAGCGATGTCCAAACGTTGCTCCAAGACATACATCAATTCGTCTTTGGTGACATCAAACTGTATTTGATTCGTCTCCTCCAGCTCATCAGCAGCACCTTGTGCGTACCACAAATATAGCATAGTTTGAACCTGAGCTGACTTTCCTGTTCAGTACTTCCACGCAGCAGATTTACCAGATCTTGCTTGATATCCGGAACATCATATCGGTAGACACACGCTGGACCTTCTTCCAGGCTCCTTTGGAAGTGGAAGATGCCTTCGGAGTCAAATTTCCCATTCCTACAGAGTACGATTACAACTTGATTGATACCGTCATTCGCCACCGGTTCAAAATTGGCGGGTGTTCCATGGAAGTGAAGATGGGAAATTTTGAACTGTGTAGGAAACAGAACCATCTTGACGTCATTACCGAGTCCTCACGTCTCCAGCCTGGAACTGCCATCACGATGTTCATAATCGTGAGCACCGGGATCATTAAGGAAGCAGCACGGCCCATACTTCGTTGCGAGTCGGCAGAGATTGTTCCGTGCCCCGGAGGGGGGTTTGGATGGTAAGTACATTCTCAGTCCATTCGTGAAACTTCACTAATGCGGTTCATAAAGCTCGAACCTTGATTTAGAGCTCTATCAGGCTACCGACTTGTTATCAAACATTGAAAACGTCCGCAGCAGTAGCGCAAACTTTTTCCAGCTTCTTACACTACTTCCACTTGCCCACAACCGACCATCCAATGCAGTCTGTTACAATTTTATGGAGCGAACTCTGCGGAAAAACGTCCGATTCGATCCTTTTAGAGATTCCGACTCAGTCTATAGCCCTGTTCTAGAAGATATCGCCAAGATAGACGGTGTTATATCCTGCCCTAGTGTCTCTATAGGAGGTATGGTAGACGGCAGATTCTTTGCGACGTTACAACTTGAGCTTGAACAAAACCTCGAGAATATGACACCACGTTGCATGGAGGTTGGACTTCAGCTCCGTAAGCGTCTTGATCGTTACGGAATCCACGCGTCTGGTGTTCATTGTCACGTTGCTGGCAAACGTGTCGACGCCTTAGGATGACAGAAGTAGTATCGCATGCGACTCACGCAGTATGATATATCAACAAGTGTACAGTGCCTTTTTTGCAGGCATCAATTTTGAGAGCGGACCTAGTCGTGACTTCCAGTCTTACCACGTGGCGCACCTGCACTTTTCACTTTAGCACGTCTGCGCTTTCCTCGCGCCTTTGTTGTTAACGTCGCTAAGTGCACATTTCAGTCGTAAACCAGCCGTCTTCATTGATGCTTCTACATCTCCATTTTCGTGATGTAGGCTGTTGGTGCCCAATGAGTCTGCCTGCAGCAAGGCTGGGAGTGGTGGCGGAATGATTGACCTGCAGCGCAGCCCCCCAAGCTGGCGGTTTCGCTCACCAAGCTTGTTTATGACCGCGCAGCAGTCGCATACCTCGAATCTTTCCTTTCTCCGTTTCGCACTCCGTACCTAACATAAGGCAAGTCGTTCGGTGCTCTCATAGTCTACCACCTAGGTATCTAACCATTAACAGATAGAACTGCGACGACCACTGCACTCACCACACGACTTACCCGGGCAGACACGCTTCAAGTCACTCACATCGCACGACCATGCCTTTCAGTGTCGGTATCGGTGATGTCATAGCCGTCGGCAAACTGATCAAGGACATCACTGACAGTCTGCGATCTGCTGGTGGAGCAAAATCGGAATACCAGGAACTCACCAAGGAGCTTGAGGCGCTCAGGACTGCCCTAGATGGTCTGGATCAACTCGATAGCAATGCAGCCCCCTCAGCACTTCTTGACACAATCAAGTTCGTCACGGCGGACTGTCGCCAACGACTTGAAGTGTTCTGGGCGAAGATCGAGAGATACGAGTCGTCCCTAGGCCCCGCAAGTCGATCCAACGCTCTGAGAGGTACCATGGATAAGCTCGGCTGGACGTTCTGCCGGAAGAAGGAAGTTGTGCAACTCCAGAGAGATCTCCAATTCTATAGCAATGTCATCAACATACTCATGACACGGCATGTCGTGGGACAGGTGAAGGATACAGGTGCAGTCTGTACACAAATCGCTGAGCGCATTCGTGACACACAAGACACTCTCGCAGATGTTGGCAAGGATGTAGTAAGCCAGGGGGTTGTAGCGAGTAACACTCAGACACTGGTCACTGGCCTGCATCAGTTCATATTCGGCGAGGTCAGAACATTCCTGGCCGACTTCGGGCAGTTGGTGAACAAAGTCTTGTATGTCCATTCCCTTCATGCACATTGTTGGAGCTTTTAACTAACCAACCACCATGCAGTGCCTCGACCCAGCAAATATACGCCGTTGTTCTCGAAATCCGAGATTCGGGAAGAGCAGTGAATACCGGTTGGACATATTTCCAAGACCCATTCGTCGTTGAAGACGCCTTTGGTCACAAGTTTCCAGTTCCATCGGAGTTCGACTACGATATGCTGGATACGATCGTCCGGCGGAAATTTCAAACCGGTGTTGGCTCGCGAGATGTTCTTCTAGGTAACTACGAATATTGTAAGGCGAATATGAGGTCAGCAGCGATTACATCAACTTCACGGCTTACACCCGGGCTAGCTATCGTGATGGTTGTACTCGTACACGCGAGAAGCGGCAGGCCTTGTCCTATGCCTCTATGCAACTCTGTACGAGCTAACACTTGCCCCAGCGGAGGATTTATGTGGTAAGCTGCATGATTAACAGATATGGCGAATAGTTATGATAACGCGTCTGCAGTTCTGTTTGCGATGTGCGGTTTGATCAAACTACAAAGGCATTCAATGATTACCGTCAAGATCTCAGCGAGTCCGGCATATCTTTGATGACTTGTTTCGAGAAGAATAAGACGAGTAGGATAACCATCGAGGATAAGATACAATATTTCATCAGACCACGCAGTATAGAAGACCAGAATTCACTGAGAAACGTGAAGGTCACATCAGCGGTCTGTCTTCAGCTAGTTGGTATAGACTTTGCATGCATCTTTAAAACTTAACTTAAAAAGTCAATATCCAAGCCCCAGTTCATGTTGTGCTGATTATCAACTGTCATACACGTTGCTATGTGATACCACAGTCGCGCACTACCAGAATATCGTCTACAGTACTCGTTGTACTCACCATAACACAAGCAGGAGGTGAAGGCAGCCTCTCACCACGTGGCACACTTGCGCTTTCCGCTTCAGCACACTGACGCTTTCCTGACCCCTACGTACCACCACCTTCCCTCACCTTTGATCCCCAAACCTTCCATCCCACATCAGCAACAAATCGCACTCATGGCCAACCACAGGGCGATGCAAGAGATGAGCCGTCTCGAAGACCTGCAACTGCAGCGCGAGCTCAAGCAAAGCGTCCTTGGTATGTCACTTCCCACTTTTCCGCTGCCGGAAGGCGCTGTAGCAGACTCTGCAATACTGACTGCGCAACAGAATACATCATCGACTTGTACCAACCAGCCTACCCCAACAACCATGGCTTCTCCATCCTCATCTGCCGCCACGTATTTGACCGCTCCTCTTCCATCCCCGCTGCTGCCGCCTTAGGCCGCCGCAACGATAGAGCAGACGAGTTCATCATGATCCGCGCGGTTACACTCAGCGAGCCCGGAACGAAGAAGTGGACGCTCGTGGCTGAGAGCAGCAGGGCGTGCTTCGGTATCGTACCTGCGTTGCAAGAATTCTCGAAAGACTTGGAGCGAGAGATGGGAAAGATGACAGCCTCGATGACCGTAGGAAACAAGAGGCAGCGCAGTGACAAGGACGAGGGCTCGAACGATCAAGGTGAGTACATCTCAGGTTATCAGCGCAAGAGGCAGAGATAGAGAGCAGGACGTGAGCTAGCAATCGCTGGCAGCTGAGACTGGTGACATGGCTTGAATGCGATAACAGGTTTGACCCTGCGAAAAACAACGCATGTGCAGGTTACTCTATGTTCAGCGATGATGCAGAGATGGGCGTTTCAAATATCGAGAAGAGAATTGGAAAGGTTGTCGCACCTGTGTGAAACAATGCAGCTAGTACGATGTCAGGAAACTCGCCTCACCTAGGCAGATCGTAGCAACTAAAAATGGCACATCATGAAGATATATCGTCATTTACGTGATAAAATTCAAGGAAAAAGGTATGTAGTTGGGCATCTTTTGACAACTGACAGGTAGTACCCGGTTTTTCCATAGTTCGGGCCAATGTTCAGGTGTCAGGCCACGGATTGACAGGTGTATCCTCGCATGTTCGCTGGAGTTCCATGTGCCTGCCACGGGTGCCGGCCAATGACAGCCGACTCACGTGGCGTTCTGTACATAGCACCCCTACACACAATGGCACCGGGCTTCGTCATCGAGCCTGAGTGCTGCCGAGCTGGCCAGGTGCAGCACCGAAACTTGGAAGAACGACTGAGACGCAGCGAGACATGTGGAGTTGAAAGACGCCGCCATGCAGATGGGCAGAATAAGCATTACCTCACGGCAGCTGTCGATGGGGGCGTCGCAACGTAAGATGGACAGAAGTGAGGCAGCGGTCAGGTTCCGGAGGCGGCCGGAGAGGGGCTATGTCGAGCAGCACGTTGAACATGTTCGCAGCGAAAAGACCCCCAAAGGGTGCGTCGGTGAGGGATGCCGGTCAGAAAAGCTGCGCAAATCATGAGACCTAGCCGGGTTGGACAGGCGCTTCTCGTTGGGCGCAGCAGGTGGTGGCAGAAGAACTGGGCTTGGCTGCCCGGCAGGCGGCAATGACATCACTCGCACGCTCGGTGCCCTCAAGACGGCTGCCCACCCCAGCCTCAAGCAAACGGTAATATCTACGCCACCCCACCTGCACCGAGATAGATCCTTGGGACCCAAGCCAAACGGACAGTCATCAGCCCTGGCCCTCCCGAGTCGACAACCTGTTAAATACCACTGCCTGCCTGTGCCCTGCGCCGCTCGACACCCCATTCCCCTACCCACTTTGTCCCGTCACTTCGCAGGCACCTTATTCTTCGTTGCGACTGCCCACCAGCCTCTCACTTGCGCTAGCAGCACAAAGCGACCACTCGGTATGTTTGCACGCCGCCGCTCTCTTTTTCCCCTCGCGCGCCCACTAACCCAGCCTTGCGCAGAGTGCCGGACTGGATACGACCCTTCCTGCTGCCGGACCCCTAGAGCCACAATCGCCCACGGCGGTATAGAGCACCACCACCATCACTATGTCTGAGTACAGCTACGCACCGCGCCACCGTACGCGGGAGCCCGAGTACGTCACCGAGACGACGTACATTGAGCGCGGCGGTCGCGGAGGCGGGGCACGAGATCTCGTCTACCGCCCCGCAGCGCGCGAGGACAGCATCGAAGAAATTCCCCGCGACTTCCCTCCCGGTGCCGAGTATAGGCAGACCAAGTACCGCGAGGAGTATGCGCCGCCCCGCCGCACCCGCTCAGTGAACCGTGGCTACGACGAAGACTACTATGACCGTCCCCGCCGACGTGACCGCGACTACGATGACCGTTCCGAGTACTCCGAGCGCCCCAACATGCAGCGCCGCAAGTCCATCGTCGACAAAGTCAAGGACTTCGGTGAGTCAGCAGGCCTAGGAGGAATCATCGGCGCCGTCACTGGCGGCGGTCGTGACCGATCACGCTCCCGCCCTCGCCGAGACGACCGTGGCTATGATAGCGACAGATACGGATACTACGACGAGCGCGACCGCCGCAGCAGCCGTTATGGATCACGTTCGCGCAGCCGCAGCCGGGGAGGACACAAGTCTGAGAAGTGGGAGCAAGCCGCCAAAGCCGCTATCGTCGCCGGTGCCGTCGAAGCCTTCCGCAGCCGCAAGGAAGCCGGTCCATGGACCGGTGCCAAGGGCCAACGTGTTGCAACTGCCGCTCTTGGTGCTGCCGGTATCGACGGTCTCATCGACAGAGACCCCGGCAAGCACGAGAAGAGGCACGTCGCCGAGTCTGCACTCGGTGGTCTTGTCGCTTCTCGCCTAGCCAACGGCTCCCGCTCGCGCTCTCGTGCTCCTCGTGGCCGTGACGACTCCAGGTCTCGCTCCCGTTCTCGTGCCAGGTCCAGGTCCAGGTCCATCTTCGGACGCTCCCGCTCTCGTGGCCGCTCCCGCTCCAACTCCAGCGACAGAGGAGGAAACAACGGTATCGCCAAGGTCGCTGGTACCGGTGCTGTGCTCGCAGCAGGCAAGGCTCTATACGACCGTGTGCGCTCCAAGTCTCGTGCTCGAAAGGACCGATCCCGCTCTTCCAGCTCGGACAGCTACGTGCCATCACGTAGGGGCAACCGCCGCTCGTACAGCCGAGGCCGCGGTATGGACGACCAGTATTCCGAAGCCCCTTCCAGGACTAACCCAGATCGCAGACTAGCCGCCGCCGGTGGGGCAGGAGCGGGTGCTTTAACAGCACAGAATGGAGGAATGGATCGGGGTCGACGGGATTCTAGCGCGGATTCCGAGTCGTCCACCGATATGGAGGAGAAGCGCAAGAAGCTACGAGGTAAGGAACTCCTCACTGCCGGTCTAGCCACTGTGGCCACCATCCACGCCGCCCACGGAGTCTACTCTTCCATGGTCGCCTCGGAGAACCGCCGCAAGCTCGTTGGCGAGGGTGAAATGACGGCCGAAGAAGCGCGCAAACGCAAGTCCAAGAACATGCTCCAGGACGCCGCCGCCGTGGGTATCGCCGCCCTCGGTATCAAATCCGCCTACTCCGAATGGAAAGAGATGAACGAACAACGCCACAGCGTCAAGGAACTCGAGACCCGCCGCCGCAAGAGGAGAAAGCTCCGTGAACGCCGCGAAAAGGAAGCCCGGATGAACGCCCTCGGTGGCAACATGAATGGTGCAGCCGCTAATCCGTACGCATATCCTGTAGCTGCCAACCAATCCTACCCTACCTCCTATGCCGATGCGAATCCCTACGGTAGCTCGGTCCCGCCCCCTCCTATGGGTGCGAGGTACTAGATGCTTCTTTTCTTTGGTTTACTCACGATGGTTATTCACGACACGGCCGACTTGGTTACTTTTGTACTGCGGTGGATGATAGAAGTATTGTTACATACCTTTTTTTTATTCTGTCTTTCAGAAAGCTTGGCTAAGCGAGGAGGTGAATGTTATTGTTCTTCTTGTTGAGCAGCTCCATTCTTTTGTTTTCGCGACTCCGATGATTGACGATGGATGGAGGCGACTTCTTGGGTTCGGAAGGAAAGAGAAGAAGTGTTTTTGGCTGATGCGACAATCGAGTCTTCTGGCTCACACATGAATGATTCACGACATGACTTTACGAAATGAAGATAGATATGAAATGGAAAACGGTCTCTTTGCACATGCTTTCTGGTTTGCACGTTTTTGTTTGAAACTTCGTGATGTATCTTGACGAAAGACCGAGCTCAGCTGCGACATGTTCGCTTTTGGGTTGGTACATTCACAGATTCGATATCATGCGGACGAACTCTTGCACACGACCATTGAACAAGACTTTTGATTCAGGACATCCGTCCTACTCCCAACTCTCCAAAAGCCAAGAGAAAGAGGCTATGTGATATGTGATGCCAAACTAAGATGAGCAAAGGGAAATGTCCAGGCATCCAGGCCTTGAAGACTCCGCCACCGGAGGTATGTGAATATAGTCGAACGCCAGAGAATGTGCAGGGGAGATAAGGTAGATGACCAAAAGATATACAAAGGGGATATGTGTTGTGGAATGGAGGACCAAAACCAAGTTGCCGTCGACACCATGTGTTTCGCCGTTCAAGCACCCTCATCATCGCTGATGTCTTCGTCAAAGTCGGGTTCGTCGACCGCCCAGAGGATGAAGGGGCCATTGTACTCCATCTATCGTTTGTTAGTACACGTCCATCGAAAGCAGGAATGACATGTCATGGGCAGGTGGTACTTACATCATTACGACCTGGCTCTGATGCAAACCACCAGCGGCCTAAGATGATGCGGCCACCAGGCAAGACAACGCCCTCGTACGCCCAGAGATTGTCCTCGTTGGGGTGGTCGTAGTCCTCGGTGAAGTGCTTCATGAAGGTGATGCGCTGCCAGCCAGGGACACCACCTTGAGGGGGCAGCGGGTTGAGCCAGCCAAGGGCCTTGTATTCGTCATCGAGGTCTTCGCCCTTGCCCTCAAACTGAATGCTCCCTCCTGTAGTTGTCTTGGGGGCGGTGTTTCGACCCTGAGTCTTGATGCCTTGCTGCTTTCCAGCGTCCTTGCCAAGCGAGCGGAGGCGGTCTTCGAAGACGGGTGGCCATGGGAGCTCGCGACCGTCGGGTAGGCGACTGTCTTCTGCGAAGGCAAGCTCAAGAGACTGCATGTGATCAGTGGGGTTCGTAAAGGCCATTCCCAATTGGAAATCTACCTGGATCTTGCCCTCGTCCACGTTCTTGTCAATGAAGACCTGTCTGCCTGGTCCCTGCTTTCGCAGCTTCTGAACCTCAATGTTCTCGAGGAAGGAGTAGGTACCCTTCCAGTACCTGCTCAGAGGCTTGGCTCCATCGGTGAGTTGTTCTCTCCATGCCGAAGGCTTCTGGGTAACGTCTAGCTCATCGATCCTGTCGAACAATGTTTGAGCATCTTCATTCATCATGTGGTGACGGAAGAAGTTCATCGCGTGGAGCATCCACCTGAGGTTCAACTTGTTGTGGTCAACTCCGGTAAAGAGGCGTTCCTTGTCAGATGAGAGGTAGACAGCGTGCTGTGAGTCCTCGAAAGCAAAGACATCATGTCGCAAGCCTTCGAGGTTGAAGATGAACTGCGAGCACATGAGCCGGACAGCGGCAAGCCCATCGTCGATATAAGCCATCTTGCCGTTTTGGGTCTCAGGGGCCCGTCGG